AGCCTCTTGATGAATGTGAAAGAGGAAGAGTGAAAAAGCTGGCTTAAAACTCAACATCCAAAAAACTAAGATCCTGGCATCTGGTTCCATCACTTCATGGCAAACAGGACAGGAAAAAGTGGAAGCAATGAGACTTTATTTTCTTGGGCTCCAAAACCACTGAAGATGGTGACCACAGCCATGAAATTCAAAGACTCTTGCTCCTTAGAAGAAAAGCTATGATAAACCTAGACAGTGTATTAAAAAGCAGAGACATTACTTTGCTGACAAAGGTCCTTTATAGTCAAAGCTATGGGTTTTTCCAAGTAGGCATGTACGGATATGAGAGCTAGATCATAAAAAAGGCTGCGTGCTGCAGAATTGATGCTTTCAAACTATGGTGCTGGAGAAGATTCTTGAGAGTCCCCTGGACAGCAAGGTGATCAAACCAGTCAACCCTAAAGGAAATCAACACTGAATATATTCATGGGAAGGACTGATGCTGAAACTGAAGTTCCAATACTCTGGCCACCTAATGTGAAGAGCTGACTCACTGGAAAAGATCCTGATGTTGGTAAAGATTGAGGGAAGGCGGAGAAGGGGGCAACAGAGGATGAGATGTGTGGATGGCATCACTGACTCAATGGAATGAGTTAGAGCAAACTCTGGGAGATAGTGAAAGACAGGGAAGCCTGGAGTGCTGCAATCCATGGGGTCACAAAAAGTAGGACATGACTTAGCAGCTGAACAACAACATCATTTACCCATTAAAACTATACGATTCAGGACTTCCCTGGTGGTCCAGTGGCTAAGATGCTGTGCTGCCAATGCAGGAGGCCCAGGTTCAATACCTGGTCAGGAAACTAGATCCCATATGCTGTATTAAGACCTGGCATAGCCTAACAAATATTTTTTTAAGTATACAATTCAAAAACATATTCAAACTGATTTTAGAAAATCTTCATCACCTCAAAAAGAAACCTCATAACCTTTAGCTATGGGCCCAACTACCCTTTTCACCATTCTCTCACCCTTCTACCCTAGGAAACCTCTAATGTACCTTTTCCCCCTTTTGGATTTCTCTATTCTGGACTTTCACATGAATGGAATCACATAGGGTGTGATCTTTTGTCACTGGCTTCTTTCACCCAGCATAGTGTTTTGAAAGTTCACCTATGTAGCACGTACCATGTAGAAGCTATCAGTCCTATTTCCTTTGTGGTCCAGCAGTATTCTATTTAGAGATGTGACATATTTTGTTAGTCCACTGGCCTGCTGACAGATAGGTGGGTTGTTTCTACCTTTTGGTTATCTGGAATAATGCTGCTATGGATATTTGTGTACAAGTTTTTGTGTAAACGTGTTTTCAAGTCTCTTGGGCAGATGCCTAGAAATGAAATTGCTGAATCACATCGTAACTATGTTTAATGATTTGAGGAACTGCCAGATTGTGTTTTCAGAGTAGCTGGACCACTTTAACATTCCTGTTGAAACATGTAAGAGAGTTCAGATTTCTCCACTTCCTCACCAACACTTGATATTATCTGACATTTTCATTCTAGCATTCCTAGTTGGTATGAAATAGTATGGTTTTTATTTGCATTTCTCTGACAATTAATGTTGTCAAGCATTTCATGTGCTTGCTAGTCATTTGCATATCCTATTTGGAGGAAGGTCTACTCAGATCCTTTGGCCATTTTTAAATTGGGTTGTCTTTTTATTATTGGGTTCTAACAATTCTCCACATATTCCAGCTACTTATTAGATATATAATTTTCAAATACTTCCTCTCATTATGTGACAGTTTTTTCACTTCTTGATGGTGTCCTTTAAGGCACAAAGGTAATAATTCTGATAAAGTTCGATTTATTCACTCTTTTATTGTTCACATTTTTGGTGTCATCATCCAAGAAACTAGTATGAACTCCAAGGTCATGAAGGTTTATTCCTGTCTTTCCCCCGAAGACTCCCCCAGTCTTGGGTCTAGGACTGTGGCGCACTCTGAGTTGATCTCTGTGCATGCAGGGGTTAGGGCCCACCTTCATTCTCTTCTGTGTGTTACTCACATACAAAAGGCCACGGGAAGGACTCTTCTTTTTCCCTGCATTGAATGGCTCTGGCAGCCTATCAAAATTCAACTGACCACAGATGCCTGGGTTTATTTCTGGGTTCTCTACTGTATTCCATTGGTCCTTGTACCAGCAAAGCACACCATCTAGATTACTACTGCTTTATAGTAAGTCTTGAAATTGGGATATAGAAGTCCTACTATTTTGTTCTTTTTCAATACTGTTTTGGCTGTTCCAGTCCAGTGCAATTGCACATGAAATTTAAAATCAGTTTGTCTATCTCCACAAATAAATCAGCTGATATTCTGTTGGGGATTATATTGAATCTGTAAAGTTTTGAGGGTATTGCCATCTTAATAATGTTAAGTCTTACAATTAGTGAACATGGGGTGTTTTTTTCATTTATTTTAAGATATAATGGTCTACATAATTCAAAGACTTCAGCATCTATACCAGCAGATATATAAAAATTATGTAATGGTTAATCAAATATTTCCTATTAATTTAAAACTCAGGAAAAGCAGAGTTTTACAAGACAAGCTGTTTACTAACCAATTCTAAGCTCATAAGTCAAAGGACATACTGTGGCATTTCCAAAGAGAAAGTTTAAAAATCAGAGATAATTAGGAATTTCTACCTGATGCCTTTATCATTTACTAAGAGGCATTAGTTCCTTCAAAAAAAAAAAGCAGAAGATATTTAAATCCCTCCTCTAATTTTGAGAGGAAAAGAGAACTGAAGAAAATGACCATTACTACTAGTATATATTAATTTGAAGTGTATAGACGTAGATTTCTCTACTTAATTACAGGTAATCCCTTACAGATTGCCTGGGCAATCATCTGAGTTCCGTGTTGATAGACACAATCAATACTGATGCTAACCCCAATGGGAGATACGTATGTGCTTCATTCAATTTCCAAAATTAACTCTAATGGTTGAAAAGCTAAATTAGAAAAAGAGAAAGACTTTTCTTCCCAGAAATCACTATTCCTCTAGCCTTTTGCTTCAGTAAGGCAGTTTAACTGGGGCGAGGGGGAGGGAGGATATGCCCACTTTATATCCACACAAGCATCAAGAGTTTACTAACTCTAGGGTTTCACCTGCACTGCAGAGCTGAATAGGCAACTATTCTACTTCCACAAAGAGTCAAATCTAAAACTCTTGGCTCTTTCACCACAACTGTCTGCATGAGAGGCTGGCTAACATTTTGGGCCTTGATCAAGCATCAGAGGCCCTCACTGAGCACAAGCAAAGGAAACCATTCCATACCAGTCACTAGCCGTTTAAAACCCAGTGCTGTTTTCTCCTCCACAATACACTGCCTTTCTAAAAAACTCCTTTCCAAATTCTTCTTTCCTAGTATCTTCTCCTCCACCAGCAAACTTGAGACTTCAAACATTAGGTAATAAGAGACTTCTTTCCACTCTCTTATACAGAAATCTCAAGTTTTTTGCCACATACCTAAGAATATGTTAATCAACTAGTACACAAAACTCTTAGGATACCTGTCAAATAAGAAATGAATATGCAAACTATCCTCACAAAGTATCACATATTGGAATACTGGACAATACTGCCAATGCAGGAGACATAAAAGATGTGGGTTCAATCCCTGGTTCAGGAAGATCCCCTGGAGTAGTAAATGGCAACCCACTCCAGTATTCTTGCCTGGAAAACTCCAGACAAGAGAAGCCTGGTGGGCTACAGTTCATGGGGCTGTGAAGTCAGGACATGACTGAGCGACTGAGCAATGTATAAATATAATAAATACTCATAAACATGACTTCAAAACATTTCAAGATATCCTGTGTCTTAAGAGTAATTTTATCATATGCCATTATTTTTAAAACATAAAAAATATATACTAGTACATTCTAAATTATTCAATTAATCAGAATATTCATTAAAACAAGTCATCCAATTCCTTAACCTCTCACTCTTTGAGTTGAAGGTCTTCCAGAACTTATTGGACTATATATTATAGCAGCATCCAAGCCATCACCTCACCCAAAGGGTTTTTTAAAAACTGCATTCTGGGTGAAGGTGTGTGTACTAAAAAGCATCTATGAAGAGGGAAGATACGAGAACATTCAACGACACCTCAAATCACACATTTTACAGCTTAGTTATGTAAAGTTTTTTATACAGGACAAAGGCATGAGAAAGAGATTTGGTATTAGCAAACAGCTCAGAAAGAAACTCTACTTCCCCCCAAACCATACAGCTACCTCTTCTCCCTCAGAAAAAGACCTGCTAGGAATAAGTGAAGTCCTTTCAAACACACTGGATTATTTCACATTGAGTTATGATTACTCATAACTGCAAAAAAAATAACACCCAAATCTGAATATAATTACAACATCCAATCTTGAAATAAAGAGTACAGTGTATGGAAAAACCACCCTGCAAACTACTTTGGGAAGAAAGAGATGGGCAGTCGAGTTGAGGGATATCAACAGAGTCCTTTTCCTCACTTCATTCCATTAAAATTACTACAAGCACACCCAAGGATGGAGAAAGTACTTGTATTGAGGAAAGGAAAGTGTTTTGAAAATTACAAAAAAGTTCAGAGAACTATGACTCTTAAGGGATCCCTGTAAGTATCATTATTCTTCCCAAAGAGTCTCACTGCTTTAATAACTGCTCAACCAGGACTGTGAGAACTCCCCAGAAAGCACACTGCATAATGCCTCCCCAAAGAACGCACAAACACACACAGAGGACTCAGTCAGCAACTGCCCTGACATCTGAAAGTTCCAGTTAGCTGCCACTAATTCCAGCGAAGCATTTACTATCCCTACAGGTATCTCAGGCCACCTGATACAGGCACCTGTGCACAATGGCGTCTGATCGGCACCAGCTGGTATGAACTCGTCCCCCAGGAAGGTACCAGCTCAGAAGAAGCAAGTGACCTCAGGACGAACACACAAGTCAGCCTGCCCTCCGTACCGGCAAGTCCACGCTGACGTCGGTCCCATCCAGAAGGGACACCCGGCAGGTGATCACGGCCCGCGCGTCCCCGGCCGCAGGGATATGCGTGGCCGCACGCTGGGCCTCACGGAGCCGGTCCTTCTCGGCCTGTTTGCGCATCGAGCGGCGCCCGAGCGTCCTGCGGAAGAAGCTCAGCATCTTGTCACTGTGGAACCAAGAGAAAAAGGGGTCAGTAGTCTCCCACAATAAGCTCTCAGACAAATGGTGTAGTTTAGTATAGTTCTGTGGACATTAGAGATATGTTATTTAAAAAAACACCTGGTCAAGTAAATTTGAAAAAAATGAAAACTGGCTACTTTAAAGACCTTAACATAGAATAGACCTCACGGCATTGAGCTCAGAGCAATTTTAAGCTTTCTGGACTATGTTGTAAGAAGCTAATCTGCCAAGAGAGGGGTAAGCATTTATTAAATTCAGCAGGTCTTTTGAGTCAATAAATTATGTATACAACAGTCATATACCCCTACACACACTAGGATACAATGCCATACACTAAGGTGTCCTTTGATGATAACAACCATCCTAACAAGCTTCATTCCTTCTCTGACCATTTATAGTACTAACACAAAAATAATCACCTATTTTAGCTAAAATACAAATGTAATTCAAAAGAACGTTTTAATCACATATTCTACTATTATTTACAGACTTTAAGCTGCTACATAATAGAAACAATTGTTTACAATGTCAAATTAATGCTACTTCTTTCCTTATCTCCATTGAGAACATTAAAGTTAATCGAAATAATTTTTTTCCCAATTATTAATCGAAATAATTAAGAGGTTAAATACAGCACATATAAAATGAAAACATCATTAAAAACTACCTTGTTAATCTAAAGTTTAACTTCCAAAACTAAGAAGACTTTGAGAAAAATAAGTACATGTAACTAAGCTAAGAAATAAATTATTAATTACAGAGAAAACAAGTTGTGCAGAGAGGGAAAAAAATCACAGTGCACTTTATGACTCAGCTAATAATTAAGTCATAATATATTAACATTAATACTGATCTAACCCTAAGTAAGCTGGGAGGGATTGGGGGCAGGAGGAGGAGGGGACGACAGAGGATGAGATGGCTGGATGGCATCACCGACTCGATGGGCATGAGTTTGAGTAAACTCCCACAGTTGGCGATGGACAGGGAGGCCTGGCGTGCTGCAATTCACAGGGCGGCAAAGAGTCGGACACGACTGAGCGACTGAATTGACTGACTGACTGAACCCTAAGTATAAAATAACGATGACTCAGAGGAGGTGGCTAATACAGGTCAGGGTGAACTTAAGAGTTAATTCCTCATCTTGCCTGGTAGGAATTCAATAGGTAGTTCATGAAACTACAGGAAACTAAAAATCAAGAAGCAACAATGAGCTTATTATTTAAAATATGAAAGTGGTTGCCTTGAGGAGGAAGAAAAATTCAGGAGAATGCTCTTTTGTGGAAGAAGACTTAATAGCAGATGACTCTTACCACTAAATAAACTTGATAAAAATAAAAGCTAATTTAAAAATAAACAAATGCTATTACATGAAAACGTAAGTATCTATAAAGATTACTGTACACACATTACAAGCAAGGATGTAAGTGAAAGTCGTTCAGTCGTGTCCCACTCTGTCATCCCATGGACCCCATGAAATTCTATAGGCCCAGAATGCTGGGGTGGGTAGCCGTTCCCTTCTCCAGGGGATCTTTCCAACCCAGGGATAGAACCCAGGTCTCCTGCATTGCAGGTGGATTCTTTACCAGCTGAGCCACCTTCCAGGATAATTCATTTGTACATTCATCTGTTTATACCTTAAATAAATAGCTAAAATTTCAGATAGTGTTTCAGTTTACAAAGCACTCACACGTAACATCTGGGCCCAGTCTCCTCCTCAGGCTTCTTTTCCCGTGGACAATGCTCCCTTTGGACCTTGCTGGCCAGTCTTATTTCAGCTGTCTACAAAAGGCTGTACTTGTCACCCTAAGGCTTCTAACCCCCTTATGTCAGAAGATCCCTACTTGTTCCTTTTAACTTAATTCTACCTGTATCTCTCCTGAGCAACATTCTCTGACATCTAAAGAGTTAGTCATTCCCACAAGACTTTCACTGAACCATGAAAATATTTTTGTCTCACTAATCAGATTTTAATTATTCATTTACACGCCTGTCTCCTTTACTGTAAGCTCCTGAGGATACAGTTCCTACTTTGAATACTTAGCCACTTAGCACATTTCATCATCAAATGCAACAAATGTTTACTTGGGAGACTGGAGTAAACAATCTCTATTGGTACTCAGAAAAACTCCCTAAAAATATTGTCTTATTTTGATATGCAAACTAAAAGTCACAGAAATTAAACCACTGACCAAGTCCATTATTTAGTAAATAGTGAAGACAGGGGCTCAAACTCTGATTTTCTGACTCCAAATCTTGGTCTTTCATGCAAAACTCACATTATAGAAATAAGAAAGAAATTATCAAAGACCACAGCTAAAAGATCCTGAGTAAAAATGCAATCATAAAACATACATGATGAATTTGTTTTTTAAAACTTAATTTGGCATATTCAAGAAATAAACGGCAAGCGGATGAAAAAGAGATACAAGGGAAACTACAGATTCAGAGATAATCACAAAGTGTGGACCTATTTTAGATTCTCCTTAAGTTATCAGATGTTATCAATGAGGGAAGCTAGGTGAAATATACATGGGAACTCTGTACTACTGTAAATTTGACCTAAATCTAAAATTATCTCAAACTAAAATATTTTGTCAATCATACATTTACTATTATATATATAAAACTTACAAGAAGTCTTGCATAACCAGCTGATGTTTTAAACTAAATGCATTTGTAAACACGATAAAAATAAAAGCTGAAATATTAAGTAACATTTAAAAAATAATTCAGTAGCTATAAATTGAGAATTACAACCTCATTTTACAAGTATGAATACTCCTATGTAATTAGATAAACTCGCAAAACCATGACAGTTGTCATCTGAACTTTCTAAGGACACAAATTATACACATACATATCTGAACACCAACTGGATTGTTTATGATAATCAAGGAAGTACTGCCAATTTTCTTTTGGATAAAATAGTGGCATTAAAAATACATTTTTTAAGAATAATCTTTTAAAAATACATACTGAAACATTTATAGAAGAAATGATATGATTTCTCGGACTCATCAAAATAATACAAGAAGAGAGTTAAGTGGGAAGAGATGAGACAAACTGACCAGATTACTGGCCATCAACTGTTGAAGCTGATGGGTACATAGAGACTACTAATATTCTTCTGACTACTTCTGTGCATGTTGAATTTTTCATAATAAAAAAGCTTTTTTAAGGGAAAAAATGCTCAAATGCACTACAACTTTGTGGTTCTTAGGAAGTAACTGAATTCTAAAACAAGTTTTCTTTCACCTCATCCTACATCTTAAAAATAAAATTCATTATAAAAGTAGAGTTAACTTGCTAAGGAAAAATACAACTTCTTTCTTATTTAATAACTATGTATTTGAACTATGAAACTCAATGCCACAAGCAAGTTTTTTAATAAAAAAATATGAAAACACTTATATGAAAACAAATTTCAGATGGGCTAAACAAGTAAAAGAAGTACTAGGAGAAAACAAATATTCTATTAGGGTGGTGGGTTTTTAAATTGTTTTCTGCAAAAAAAAAATTTGAAGGATTAACATGCAGTTTAATAAAGAACTATCACACATAGTTAAGATAAACCCAGAAGAGAAAAAATGGACACGATATGAAGAGACAAGCTCTAAAATAAGACATGCAATAAAGAAATACTCATTACAAAGATGTTCAACCTCAGCAGTAACCAAGGAAATCCAAATTAAGAAAAGATATTGTCTTTTAAAAGACTCTAGATATCCAGTATTGAAAAGGACATGTGAAAAACAATGACGCTCACACACACCCTTTCACACAGCAATTCTATTTCTGGTAGAATATCCTAAAAAGAAATGTCCCATATGCGCTCCAAGCCATAGAAAAGAAAATTTCCAAGGCGTAATTAAGAAAACGTTAAATGCCTCTATCAACACGCAAGTAGTTAAATAATGGTTCATCCAATGGCATACAACACAGCTGTTTTTATAAAATACAGCTGACACAGACACTTTATATATACACACACACACAAGCATTAGGACACACAAACTTAAATGAGGCTATCTCCAGAAATGGTCGTGTGGAGGTACTTAACTTTTCTATAATAAAGATATATGAGTATGTTAGGAGTTTATTTTTTAAATTTATTGTTCATTTTTAAAGCCTTGCCACATTCACTCTCCCCCCACCCCGCGTCACGCTTTTCCCACCCCGCCCCCACTCCCCGCACCCCTCTCCAAGCCGCGGCAGCGGATTTAAGCTACCACCAATCAGACTCCTGTTAACAATCTTTAACTGCCGCGCTCCCGGCTCCAGCTCCTCCTCCGCCCCGACCCTTCCGGCGCCCACTCCCCTCAGCTCGCTCCGCTCTAGTAACTCTTCCACTCGGCCCAGGCGTCTTTCAACTGGGGGCCTTTTTTCCGCCTTAGCTGCTCCAGCTTTCTGGAATGCCACTTCCCCTTCAACTCCCATCGCTACCCAACCCCACCCTAACCCCCGCCTCCCACCTCACTTGGCCATCTTCAGATTTCTGGCTGAAATGTCTTCAACTCAGAAAATCAACCCCTGCTTTCTAAATCAGGGTCTCCTTTTAGTACCACCAGGGTGCTCTTTGCAACCCTTAAGATACCAACTTGTTCCCCCACCAGTCTGACTCGTTCCCCACGCTGACCCAGCGGGCACTGCAATATGCGCATCAGGCACTCAATAAGGAGCGTGTCTGAAATGACACAATGGAATTTTTGGATGGTACGTGTATGTATGTATGTATGTATGTATGTGTGTGTGTGTGTGTATACACACATTTTTTAAAAAATAGTACTGAATCTATTACGCCTGACTTTTCAGCTATGAACTAGGAAGAGTTTTAAGTGGAAAACTGCAAACCGAAGTCATCCATTTACCACCTGAATTAACTTTTTTTAAATACATACCTAAAATTCAAAAGTTTGTCGTGACATGTAAACACTCTCCTGTGACTGGTGGACGCAACCTTTGATAAACAACTGCTACCCCCACCCCAAAGAACTATTACTTGCAGCAAGTTAAGAACACCCTGGGTCTTTCTAAAACCCTGTCTCCAGTACTTGCTTTCTGACAAAGTTATAAGCCAACCTACAGCGAACACCATCATGGTATTAACACCCTTCATCCTAGTCATCCCAACACAGAAATTATCTGCAAGGGAATAATTCAACAGTTAATCACACATATGGTTTCCCAGTGAACTTTACCTAAAGAAAACCTGCAAACTAGCTTATTTACAAACAATCCACTGTGTCAGATTCAGCAATCTATTAGAGAACAAAAAATGGAATCAAAGGAAACTTTTCCCTAACTCCGAAAAACACACGATATTAAAACGTAGGCAAAAGGTATAAAATACTCGGCTATTGCTGGTCAGACAGAACCATAAACGCTGGTACTACTGAAGCCGACCCCAGGAGCCATGCATTGGGCCCGGCCGCGGAGCGCAAGGGAGAGCGGCTCCCGGCGCCCCCATACCCCTATCCCCGCCCCGGACACCTGCCCGTCTGCCTCCAGAGCGCGTCAGCCCAGCGCGCTCGCTACCAGTCCTCGGTACGTCCCGGAGCGACCCCGTCCGCCCGCAGGTGGACGCTCGTCCGGCCTCCCTCCCTCCCTCCGCGCCGGCCCCTCGGCCGCCGCCCGCCCGCCCCTCGCGGGACGTGTTCGGCCGCCGACCTCGAAGCACCGGGCCGCCTGAGGGTCCCCGGCGAGGCCGCAGCCCCGGTGCAGGCGAGGAGGGCGTGAGGAGCCAGGCGGGTGGCACCCTTACCTGGCGGCGAGCACTCGAGGCCACTGGAGGGGAGAGGGCCGCGCGAGGCGGCGAGGGGGCGGCTCCGGGGAAACGCTGAGAAATGGCGGCCAGAGGCGCGCCCACCGCACTAATCCCGGCGGACCCCAGCCGCAACCGCCCCTCCCTTAAAGCCTCTAAGCTCCGCCCTAGAGGCGGGGCACGCCACTCTTAAATGGGCAATGACACCGCCCCGGAAATGGCGGGGCGGGGCGATGCTCGGGTTAAAGCGGCAATGCCGACCTGGCTCGAGAGCTGACCGCAGGTTTAAAGGGGCGCTGCCAAAGCCGGGTCCCCTGAGGGTGCGCGCCCGCGGCGCCCCCACGTTAGTCCTGTCATAGAGGCGGCTTACCCTGCAGACGGAGTCCGGCGTCAGGTACCGCTCGGACATGCTGTCAGCCCTTCAGCAAATTAATTCACTCAGCAAATATTTACTTGCCCGGCTGTATTCTGGAGACAAGAACAGGAAGGCAGCGGCGGGAAGTAGGAAATTTCTGCTTAGCAGGGAACGCTGCAGCCTTTCTGTGTACGGAGGATTCAGGGACGTGCCTGCGATGGGCCAAGGTGTATTCTGGACAGTGGCGATACCACGGATAAAAGGGGCAAAAAGAGCCCTCGTAGGCGTTCAGAGCTGGCAGGAAAGAGAGAAGTGCATGTCGCCGGTTAGTAAAAGCCAGCACTATTCGTGGGTCTCCTTGGGCACTAGGGGTGCGTGCGTGCGTGCGTGCTAAGTCGCTTCGGTCACGTCGGACTCTTTGCGACCCCATAGACTGTATCCCGCCAGGCTTCTCAGTCCATGGGATTTTCCAGGCAAGAATACTGGAATGGGTTGCCATTTCCTACTCCCTGGGGTCTTCCAGACCCAGAGATTGAATCTGCGTCTCCTGTGTCTCCTGCATGGGCAGGCGGATTCTTTAGCACTGCGCCACCACGGAAGCCCCAGGTACTAGAATAAGGCATTGCTAAATGACAGAGAAGACTAGAAGCCGGGACAGAGGGAGGGCTGGTGATCTTACACAGACTGGTAGGCAAAGAGGAAAGTCTTGGAGTGAGGGCCTGAAGGAGGCGAAGGCGCGCCCCTGCATGGCCTGCGCGGTGAGCAGGGTGGCCAGGGGTAGGGACAGAGGGAAGAGGCCTGGGACAGAGGCAAGTCAGAGAGGACAGAACTGAGCTGAAGAGGCCCCCAGGCCTTGGGCAGAGCGCCGAGGGGTTCAGTGGAGGACCTGCTGGCTGGAAGAAGGGCCCTTCCTAGGATTTGGCACTGCCAGTTTGACCCTGCACCACCCCAAGTCTGAACAGCTGAGCTTGGTAAGCACAGCTGGCTTCTGCCCTCTGCACTGTGGGCTGGGGCAACTCAACAGGAACTGGAGTTGCCCAAAGGGCTTCACTCATCTGCATGGCATCTCAGCTGGGGTGGCTCTTAGGAGCAGCTGGGTTGTCTTGGGCATCTCCAGCAGGGTACTTGAAATGACTGAAGCCCCTCAGAGTGAAAACTGAAGCTCCAAGGCCTATTAGGGCAATGCCCAGAATCACACACAGTCACTTCTGTTCTCTGTTATTGGGTGAAACGTGTCAGAAGGCAAGATCAGTTTCAGGGATAGGAACAAGATTCCACCTCTATTTTTTTTCCCCTAATAGTATTAAAGTTGTTGTTGTTGTTCAGTTGCTCTGTCGTGTCCAACTCTTTGCAACCCCATGAACTGCAGCGCACCAGGCTTCCCTTTCCTTCACTATCTCCCAGAGTTTGCTGGAACTCATGTCCATCCAGTGGAGATGCCATCCAACCACCTCATCCTCTGTTGACCCCTTCTCCTCTTGCCCTTGGTCTTTCCCAGCACCAGGGTCTTTTCCAATGAGTCGGCTCTTCGCATCCAATAGCCAAAGTATTGGAGCTTCAGCATCAGTCCTTCCAATGAGTATTCAAGGTTGATTTTCTTTAGGATTAACTGGTTTGATCTCCAGTTTGATCTTTTGCTGTCTAAGGGACTCTCAAGAGTCTTCTCCAACACCACAATTTAAAGGCATCAGTTCTTCCGTGCTCAGCCTTCTTGATGGTCCAACTCTCACATCTGTATGTGACTACTGGAAAAACCATGCTGCTGCTGCTGCTAAGTCGCTTCAGTCGTGTCCGACTCTGTGCGATCCCATAGACGGCAGCCCACCAAGGCTCCCCTGTCCCTGGGATTCTCCAGGCAAGAACACTGGAGTGGGTTGCCATTTCCTTCTCCAAGGAAAAACCGTAGCTTTGACTATATGAACCTTTGTTGGCAATGTGATGTCTCTGCTTTTTAATATGCTGCCTAGGTTTGTCATAGCTTTTCTTCAAGGAGCAAGCGTCTTTGAATTTCATGGCTGCAGTCACTGTCCACAGTGATTATGGAGCCCAAGAAAATAAAGTCTGTCACTGTTTCCATTTACAGTATTAAAGTAGAGAAGCTTTCTTTCTCTATTTTTAAAAAATAGCTTCATCAGTAAGTCGTGTTTGAATTTTAGCTCAATAAAAAAGCAAGATGCAGCCATTAAAAAGAATGAAATAATGCCATGGATGGACCTAGAGATTATCATACTAAGTGAAGTGAAGCGAGTCAAAAAGAAAAATACCATATGATGTCACTTATATTTGAAATCTAAAATATGATACAAATGAACTTATCTACAAAACAGAAACTCACAGACACAGAGAACAAACCTGTGACTGCCTAGGAGGAGAGGGTAGGAGAGGGATGGATTGGAAGTCTGGTATTAGCAGGGGCAAACTAGAATACACAGAATGGATAAACAACAAGGTCCTACTACATAGTGCAGGGAACTATATTCAAATCCGGTGATAAACCATAATGGAAAAGAATACGAAAGAAGAAGGTACATATATGTATAAGTGAGTCACTACCCTGTACCGTACAGCAGAAATCAACACAACATTGTAAATCAGCTATACTTCAAAAAAAAAGTGATGACAGTGATGCATCATGGGGGGAGGGAGGGAAGTGGTTCATGTATAGATGAAACCAGAAAGGGCCAGGGCGTGAAGCTGGGTGATAGAAGCATTAAAATATTCTGTCATTTTATGTACAGGTTTACATTTTTTTCCATATTAAAAAGTTTTTTAAAAAAACTATCTGGGCCATGTACCCCATGGAAAGCCTTCCTGAGACCCAGGAATTAAGATTACACTGTTTGAGAACTGTTTGGTCTTGAGTGCTGTCCACTCAGTCTATCAGGGCCGTCTCTACCCAAGCATTATCAGTGTTTATACGTGTGAAAGCTGTATTGTGCTTTTTCTGTTTACTGATCAACAATGGAAACATTTCTGTCAATGATTATAAACCTGCTTCATTGTCCTAAACTGTTGCCTAGCACACTAGTTTAGAGAAAGGGTCCTCTTCTCCCCTTCCACTTTATCCTTTTTGCTGTCTCCTGTCAAAGGTGGTGGGCTTCCCAGGTGGCGCTAGTGGTAAAGAACTTGCCTGCCAATGCAGGAGACGTAAGAGACGTGGGTTGGATCCCTGGGTTGGGAAGATCCCCTGGAGGAGGGCATGGCAACCCACTCCATATTCCTGCCTCGAGAATCCCATGGACAGAGGAGCCTGGTGGGCTGCAGTCCATGGGGCTGCAAAGAATCAGACACGACTGAAGCAATTTAGCCCGCAGCATGCACGTCAAGGGTGGTGTTGGGGTGAGAGAAATAGGCCGAGAAAGATTGTTACAGGTTGAAAGACATATGAAATCTTGATGGATGAAATCTAAGGACCTAAGTCATAGGAGGCTGTGCTCTGATCATGAAAGATTTAATTCATCCCCTCACCAAATCCTCTCTTCAATCAGATACCCACTGCAACATTCCTGTTTTGTGGTGAATTAGCCCGCTAACTGCCTCCTACCTGAGACAGAGAATGCAGTCTCCTTAAACACAGCTGAATTAAGTAAAAATACACTTGACTACAAGTAATAGAGAACACAATTAACTGTAGCTTAAAAAATAAGGAGTTTTTTTTTTGTTTTACCTAAGTAATCTAAAGGTAGTTGGCTGTCTAGTATTGGTTCAGGTCAACAGTCCTATAGAATCCTAAACTCTTACTTTTTTTGTTCTGCTATCCTTAGTATGTGGATTCAGGTTTTTATGCTTCTAGCCTACGGGCCGCAGGAGGGAGGCAGTGTTTCCAGCTCTTCTTCCTGAGTTTCAGAAATGAAAGGGAATGGGGAAAATATCTCCTTTTCCTGTAGCCTTGTCTTTTTTTTGCGGCCGGCGGGGCGGGTGGGGGGTGGGGGGGGTGCGCGTTGCACCATATGGTTTGCAGGATCTTAGTTGCCTGAACTCTCAGGCCCATAGCAGTAAAAGTGTTGAGTCTTAACCACTGGACCACCAGGGAATTCCTAGTGAAGCTGTGTCTTTAATTCAGGGAAGGACGTCCCACCATACCCTGTCTCATTGAATGGGATTAACTGCCTGAAATAGCAGGAGAAAAGGATACCATCACTGGTTTAGACCAATTAAAATTCACACTTGGTGTTTAGGGGAGAACCTGCTATCTCTGAGATTAAGGGCTCACTATCAGCTTCTTTAAAAAGTCCAAGATCTATTAGCAGGAAAGACAGGGTGTTATTAGGAAGAATGACTGTGGGCATGGTGTTGAAAGTGCAGACTTGAATAACCCACTTTTGGTGGAATGGTCCTGGCCATGGAAAGATTTTTCCTTTAGTGAATGAACAGCCTTACCCTAGATTTCTACCAATATTTTAGGTCCTGGTTTTCTCTCTGGAGTAACAGAAAGGGGTGGATCCAGGTTTTGTTAGTTCTGAAAACCATACAGTTGTTGGGGGCAGGGGGCAGGGGGCAGGGAGGCTTAAGTGAAATAAGACAAATTTAAAGATTTAAAATGAGAATTAGGGTCTTGGAAGGGGCCCATACAAGTCAGGAGCCCTAAAGCTTAAACATGATGATCTTCATGGGAAATCCGCCTTTGCCCACAAGGAGATAGTTGCTCTTTCATATCACAGCTCTTTAAATAATGAGGACATTGGTCCCAAGTCTACAAAACCCTCTCCTTTTGTCCTGATTTCCAAGCTCCTTGCTTTCTCAGTCAACTTGGCTGAACTGGCTCACACTGGTGGGGCCATTCCTGCTGAGGCATCCTGAGCAGCAGAATTCCAGAATGAGAGTCAGTCTTACTGGAGGCTGAAGGGGCCCTGCCTCCCAAAAGCCCCCACTGTGAAAAGACCCTTGGCGATTAGTGGGACAATGCAGAAGTCGGTATGTGACTTCCAATAACTGGCACTCTCCTGTCTGCCTTGACTCCTTTAGTTGTTCACTCCGGAGGCCAGCAGCCACCGTGTCGCGAAGATACTCAAGAAGCCCTAGGGAGCCATGGATGCAGAGGAGCTGAGACCCCCCCCAACAGCCAGCACCCACTTGCCAATCCGTAGGTAGGCCATCTGGCGTAGGATGCTCCAGCCCCTCAAGCATTCCTGTGACAAGGCCCGACCAATATGTATCTGTGACTGAGGCAGAACCACCTACCTCCTGTCCCACAGAAACTATGAGCAATAATAAACATCTGTTGCTATTTTAAGCCATGAAAAAAAGGAAGGAAGGAAAGAGAAAGAGAGAAAGGAGGAAAGAAAGACAAGCCCCTTTTGTTGTTTGTTGTTCAGTCGCTCAGTCGTGTCCAGCTCTTTGGGACCCCATGGACTGCAGCATGCCAGGCCTCCCTGTCCTTCACTATCTCCCGGAGCTTGCTCAAACTCATGTCCATTGAGTCGGCGATACTATCCAACCATCTCATCCTCTGTTGTCCCCTTCTCCTCCTGCCTTCAATTTTTCCGAGCATCAAGGTCTTCTCCAGCGAGTCAGCTCTTCACGTCAGGTGGCCAAATTATTGGAGCTTCAGCTTCAACATCAGTCCTTCCAATGAATATTCAGGGTTGATTTCTTTAGGATTGACTGGACAGGAAATCAGGAAGAGTTTGTTTTCCAGACACTGAATCAGAGGAGCACTAACTAGTCAAAAATGCATATAAGTAAAAAAAGTAGAACACAAAAACTCATCAGGAAATACCACTAAGAGTTTCATTAGCATACAGCAGAGTCTAGACTTCAATTCAGAAACTAAAAGATCTAAAATAACTTTAAGTCTGTAAAATGAGGATGATACCACCTTCCTAACAGGGCAGTTATGAGACTGGCATAAAATAACTTATCTGAAAATGTTTTCAGAAGCACACACCACTACATATAATGTAAATGTTACTGCCCAAGGAACAAAGGTACTTATGCACTGCCGGTGGCAGAGGCGGGGTCAGGAGGGTAGAGGGGTCTGTAGCCTGGACCTGGGTCCATGCACTTGCATGCTTTCCTTACTCAGCTAAGTCTTTCCTGAGCCAGAATCTCATGTCTGCAAGTTCACCCTTCCTCTCTTTGCAAGTATTCCTGGCAGGAGTAAGACCTTAAACTAATTCATACTAAAGTATTAGCCACACAGGCTAAATGAAGGACACCTTAAAACAATGGGGAGAGTTGGGGTAGAGGTGTGCAGAGATGGGATATGCAAAATAAACTGAAGTCAAATCACTTCTTCCTCCAAAGCACAAAGTCAGGCTTTTCCATACCTTTGGAGATTCAGGGCAATAAACCGGAGCCTTCATATTCCATGAATCCATATTTCATGCATCATTTTGTTCAGAATTATCTGGAACATAGCACTACAGATCTGGTGGTAGACACGCCTTGTTTATTCTACTAGGGAAAAAAATTCAGAAAACCCTGGATGGCCTCAGGCAAGTTCATAATATTGAGTAACAGAGAGGCGGAAGTGAAAACACTCTCCCATCAGATTTGCCTAGTGGTGAAACCAGGATAAGACTGAGAGAAAAGGGGTGGAGCCAAGGCATAGAGCTTCTAGAAGTTACTGCGCATGAGTCACCTGGAGATTCTGTCACAAGGTTTGTGTCTGGGGTGGGACCTGAGAGTCTGCATTGCCCACAAGCTGGCAGCTGGTGACACTGGCCACTCACAGGCCACACATTTGAACGAGGAAGTCCTTGGATGACTGCCCCATACCTGTGACTGTGTGACAGGACCCACACAGGTGTTCTAAGAGACCGCACAGTAGGACAAGCAGCACTGACCATGCTGCCCTGAATTCACAGGGACAAGCACCTTTCTTTCCTGGTGTCAATTATCTATAAAATGAGGTAATTAGGACAGATGGTTCCTGCAGTCTCTTTAGGATCTTAAAATCAGTGATGCTATACCTATTTCAATACATGAGAGGATTTCATTTAATTTTACACAAACCAAACCTCAAAATTCCTTTGAAGGGAGAATTGAGAAAAACAAATTATCATATATTAACACACAAATGTAGAGTCTAGAAAGATAGTACAGATGAACCTATGTGCAAAGCAGAAATAGAGACACAGATGTAGAGAACAAGGAAGGAAAGAAGGGGTGGGGTGAACTGGGAGATTGGGACTGGGACTGACATATATGCACTGTTGATACTATGTTTAAAATGGATAGCCAATGAGAATCTACTGCAGACCCCAGGGAACTGCATGCAGTGTTGTGGTGACAGAGGGGGATATGTATACACACATGGCTGATTCACTTTGTAGTTCAGCAGATACTAGTCGAGGATCGTCCCTGGTAGCTCAGCAGTGAAGAAACTGCCTGCAATACAGGAGACACGAGCTCAATCCCCGGGTCAGGAAGATCCCCTGGAGGAAGGTGGGGCAACCCACTCCAGTATTCTTGCCTGGAGAATCCCATGGACAAGAGGAGCCTGGAAGGCTACAGTCCATAAGGTCGCAGAGCGTCAGACACGACTGAAGTGACTGAGCACGCACGCAGAGAAACTAACAGAACATTGTAAAGCAACTAAACTCCAATTTGTAAAAAAAAAAAAAAAGAAAAGAAAAGTTTAATTTTGGAGGGAAAAAGAGAATCATCCATTTTAAGTGCTTATTTTCCAAACATTGATCTAGAATGTGAGGTCAGGTTAAAGTTATGACAGTGATTGTTCAAACAACTTCAAACATATAAATTGGTACTATTTTTTTTTTAAATTCTCAGAGAATATTAACTTTGGCTGTAGAATCAGACACCTCCATTCACTAGCTACTTAACTTCCAAAGGATAAACTGTGTTTTAATTTCCTCACCTGTAAAATGGAGATCCTCAAATATAGCTTTGAGGATCAAATACAAAGGTAGGAGATGTGCCTTTTAGGGGCACTGAACCTCATTCTTAGCACTGTTAATGCCAGAGAAAGTAGAGGGAGGGTGGTGAGAAATGAAGCTGGCTGTTGAGGCTGTAACACTTCATAGGCTTCTAGGCTTTCTCAGTGATAGCAAATCTTTATTCTCAGAGGACGGATTTCGTTCCTGGCAACAGACGAGAGTCAGCCTGAACATAGTTGGGTGAATGTGTTGAAAAATATCGAGTCTGAAAGTAATGGGTTCAATAGAGTCCATGAAACTAGCAGTTCAAGAACCTTGGAAAATCCTCTTATTCAGAACAGCAACCACCAAACAATAAAACATGGTCAGAATTAACTTTTTTAAAACTCTGGATATTAACCCAAGGTTTGCAACAATCCAGAGGTGTTTATTCAAGAAAAAGAGCTGAATTTTGGTAAGAGCAGTGAGCTTTATGGCATTTTGACTGGCCCAAGTCTCATCTTCTCTCCCCAGTTTCTTTGCAGCCTTAAAACCAGCACCTAAAGGGCCACTGGAGGGAGCAGAACAGAGTCAGAGTTCCTTCAAACCCTGTCCTCAGAGAACTGTTACTTTATTTGACCTAACTCACAGCTCAAAATGAAAAGCTAGGAATAAGATGTCCAGTTAAATAAATTTTCAGTTCAGTTCACTCAGTCGTGTCCGACTCTTTGCGACCCCAGGGACTCTAGCCTGCCAGGCTCCTCTGTCCATGGGATTTCCCAGGCAAGAATACTGGAGTGGGCTGCCATTTCCTTAAGGTGTCCAGAGCGGGCTTTGAAAAGTTCTGACACATTTTTGCGAATCTTGAAGTCTACTTATGTGCACAGTGCTGTGTTCAGGCCCAGCTCTGAGAACATGTTAATGTTTGAACCTAGTTATAATCCCTTAGTCTTTGTTGCAAAAAACAGACCCCAAGTATATCATCTATTTTTTTTCTGTTCCAGTTCCAGTTCAGTTGCTCAGTCGTGTCCGACTCTTTGCGACCCCATGATCTGCAGCATGCCAGGCCTCCCTGTCCATCACCAACAGCCGGAGTCTACCCAAATCCATGTCCATTGGGTCGGTGATGCCATCCAACCATCTCATCCTTTGTCGTCCCCTTCTCCTCCTGCCCTCAATCTTTCCCAGCATCAGGGGCTTTTCCAACGAGTCAGCTCTTTGCATCAAGTGGCCAAAGTATTGGAGTTTCAGCTTCAACATCAGTCCTTCCAATGAACACCCAGGACTGATCTCCTTTAGGATGGACCGGTTGGATCTCCCTGCAATCCAAGGGACTCTCAAGAGTCTTCTCCAACACCACAGTTCAAAAGCATCAATTCTTCGGCACTCAGCTTTCTTTATAGTCAAACTCTCACATCCATACATGACTACTGGAAAAACCATAGCCTTGACTAGATGGACCTTTGTTGACAAAGTAATGTCTCTGCTTTTTAATATGCTGTCTAGATTGGTCATAACTTTCCTTCCAAGGAGTAAGCGTCTTTTAATTTCATGGCTGCAATCACCATCTGCAGTGATTTTGGAGCCCAAAAAATAAAGTAAGCCACTGTTCCCACTATTTCTCCATCTATTTCCCATGAGGTGATGGGACCGGATGCCATGATCTTAGTTTTCTGAATGTTGAGCTTTAAGCCAACTTTTCACTCTCCTCTTTCACTTTCATCAAGAGGCTCTTTAGTTCTTCTTCACTTTCTGCCATAAGGGTGGTGTCATCTGCATATCTGAGGTTATTGATATTTCTCCCGGCAATTTTGATTCCAGCTTGTGCTTCCTCCAGCCCAGCATTTCTCATGATGTACTCTGCATATAAGTTAAATAAGCAAGGTGACAGTATACAGCCTTGATGTACTCCTTTTCCCATCTGGAACCAGTCTGTTGTTCCATGTCTCGTTCTAACTGTTGCTTCCCGAGTCTAACTGTCTTGCTCATACCAATTTTTAGTAATTTTCAGGCTTTCATAAAGTTTCAATGACTCCTTTAAGAAGCTTTTGGAAAAACGCTACCCCTTTTCACACGCACATTTCACTGGCTTGGGTAACAGGTAATTCTAAATGATAGAATATAGATAAACATATTTGCATGTATAGGTTAGCAAATAAACAGAACTGATTTTAGTAAGCTTACAACAGAACTGGTGGAATG